GCCCTCCCGTGACTTCTCTCCTCCTAAGGAACCGAGCCTGGAAGGTCGTAGTGACAGGGGTTAACTCTATTAATATTAACACTCCTCGATATATGTGCTGGTCATGTCGTTTGTTTAATTTTACTCACCCACTTCTGGTTAAGGATTTGGTTAGCTCACCTAAATGTAGCCACAGAGGTCAGCTAGAAAACATTAATTGATATCTCACAGCACCGGCGGGCCCGAGCTAGGCGTGAATTAACCGAAAACAGACTCACCCTCCGAGTTTAAGCACATTCCCGAGCACTTTTCAAAGGTAGAATAAGCATCAGAGGTTTTTCAAAATACTCATTTTCAAAATCGCTTGGAAGAAGGATGAGAATTTCAGGAAAATTAAAAGGGAAATAAGGAGTATCTTCTAAGGAGGTTGCGTGGGAAATGCAGTCGTCTGGAGAGTAGATATGGGGAGGCGGAAATCTAGTGAATCACGCCCACACCTGAAAATAAAATCAGACGAAGGAAGGAAAGAAGGCTGTAATCACTGTGAATCGAGCGCTGGGTAAGACAGGATGGGAAAGTATGGCACTTCACCTTTATCCGGAAGCTCCAGTGTTATACTCAAACTGTCATAAGCCAAAAGTGTGAAAGATTAGCAGAAAATGTGAAGCCCTAGGGAAAGGGTCGAATACAATAAGCGTGGAGATTACTAAAAATACCAAGTTCCATATCAAGACTCTCTGCATAACCAAATAGCCCGACTAGTAGCGTAGCATATGGTCAGTGGTGGTACGGCTACTTCCACTCAGCGTACAGAATTGAGCCTGAACTAGCTGATGTTCTTTTTGATGGTTAACCTCGTGCCGACAGTCGTAGTTCAGACCTCATGTAGTGTTCAAATTAGGTTAAGGCCAGCTGACGATTGAAAATATGCCAAAAAGGCAGAACATTAATCTTCCTCGGATCTGGGTCGATCCGGTTCACGCTGCAAAAATGCAACCAATCGTCATTTTTCCAACGCCTAATACAGAAGGAGGTGAGATCGCACTGCCAAATTAGGCAGACAATCCGGTGGTTGGGGTCCTTCGGATTTGTGT